TGATCACTGAGGAAGACTTTCTTATCTCTCCTTGCTGTTTTTTGAAACTCGGCATCCAAAAGTGTATATCTTTCCTTTCCTCTTTAGCCTTTTGCTTTTCTTCTTTTCACAGCTATTTGTAAGGCATTCTTAGAGAACAATTTTGCCTTTTTGCATTTCTTTTTTTTGGGATGACCTTGATCATTGCCTTCATACAATGTCACGAACCTCCTTCCATAGTTCTTTAGGCACTCTGTCTATCAGATCTAATCCCTTGAATCTATTTGTCACTTCCACTGTAAAACCGTAAGGATTTGATTTAGTTCATACCTGACTGGTCTAGTTGTCTTCCCAATAGATGTTCTTGTCTTTTATGTTATCTCAAGTAAAATATTTTCATGATTTTCAATTTAATATTCTCATAGATAAAATGTATATTTAAATATATGTATAAAAATATACATACACACACATGCACACGCACACATGCACACATAGGGCTTTACCAGTGAGTGGTAAAGAATTAGCCTGCAACATAGGAGACTTGCAGGAGATGTGGGTTTGATCCCTGGGTTGAGAAGATGCCCTGAGGAAGGAAATGGTGACCTACTCCAGTATTCTTGCCTAGAAATCCCTATGGACAGAGAAACCAGGTAGGCTACAGTCCATGGGCTTGCAAAGAGTCAGACATGACCGAGGAACAAACAACAACAATACATTTTCAGATGTTTCCTCTTATAGGTTATTGTAAAATATTGAATATTGTTCCCTGTACTCTACAGTAGGTCTTTGTAGGTTTTCTAATTTATATATAGTGGTGTGTGGTTTATGTCTTTATTTGACTACTTACTAACGACAAATATAATTTTTGTAGGGAGTTAAATATCTTTCTAAGTAATAAATATTTTAAAGTGTGGCACCAGATATGATTAAGTGTACTGTCAGGTTGTCATATATTGCAGACAATAAAACAAAAGATATTTTACCTGGACAGTGAGATATATTTCACACTCTAGTAACCCTGGAACTATATCAGCCATAGAAAAGAACATCTGCTTCATCTCAATGCTAATGCCAAGTGGTTTCCTCCTAATTTGGCAAGAAAAAGTGTCCATGAAGAAGATCTGTCAAAGTCAGTACAACGGGAAGATAGAGAATGAGGATGGATTAATGATTCTGATTTGCTTGGATTTTTTTTTCAGAGCTATGCCATTTCTCATTCTATTTGCAGGTGATAAAAGAGTGGAATTGTTGCCTGTAATACTAATAGAGTTAGCTTTATTTCTGAAGTGATATGAAACTACTAAAAATACAGTGGGATAGATGGTTTATTAATTAATAATCAAAATACTGTTAAACATTATCAACCTCCCACCTACTCACCTCAAATAGGAATACATATCATTCATATAAGCAAAGCTTAACAGATGTTATTATGATTGTGTTTTACAATTTTTCTTCCATCATCTCTGACCTAGGTTTCCATACTAATCATCCACATTAATTTCTTATAAGTGGTTTTGTTGACTGTGTGATAGGTTATTCATGGTAAATTACTGCTGATACAATTCACCCAGAGTCAGACAAGTTGAAACTAATGAATCATTTGTTTGGTTCCAGCTTGAGGTACACTGAGGATAAGCGATAGCTGCTATAAATCCATCTCTAAATAGTGCTGCTGACAGATACAGGCTTATGGAAGCACACGCATCTGTGATAAAAATCTTGCTTCAATACTTTTAGTTCTGTGAACATAGGTTTCTGTTTTCTTCTTAGGGGAAGAATAACAATAAAACTAACATAACAGGGTAGATTTAAATAAAGAGTGGAATTGTTGCCTGTAATACTAATAGAGTTAGCTTTATTTCTGAAGTGATATGAAACTACTAAAAATACAGTGGGATAGATGGTTTATTAATTAATAATCAAAATACTGTTAAACATTATCAACCTCCCACCTACTCACCTCAAATAGGAATACATATCATTCATAAAAGCAAAGCTTAACAGATGTTATTATGATTGTGTTTTACAATTTTTCTTCCATCATCTCTGACCTAGGTTTCCATACTAATCATCCACATTAATTTCTTATAAGTGGTTTTGTTGACTGTGTGATAGGTTATTCATGGTAAATTACTGCTGATACAATTCACCCAGAGTCAGACAAGTTGAAACTAATGAATCATTTGTTTGGTTCCAGCTTGAGGTACACTGAGGATAAGCGATAGCTGCTATAAATCCATCTCTAAATAGTGCTGCTGACAGATACAGGCTTATGGAAGCACACGCATCTGTGATAAAAATCTTGCTTCAATACTTTTAGTTCTGTGAACATAGGTTTCTGTTTTCTTCTTAGGGGAAGAATAACAATAAAACTAACATAACAGGGTAGATTTAAACATAAAGGGATATATGCAAAACAATTATACAATTCCTCACTGGAAGACAGTGCCTCATAAGTGGCAGATATTAATTCTATTATTAGTGGATTTTCTGTTTCATGTAGGAAAAGAATCAAAGAACAGAATTTTAATAGCATTATGAAATCTAGTTCAAAAGGCTTTAATATTGTTTTTCTCCACCCTCTAAATCCTTATGACTATCAGAGTAAACATTTACCCATCTCAAATCTAAATACAGCCCTTATCATCCATGTATTTTCAGAAAAGCCGTATAATTCTTTTCAAATTCCTTAAGAGAAAAGCTATAAAAAAGCTCTGCCTGTCACAATGCTAATTTCTTAGCATGACTACCAAAGTTAAATGTATATATATTCTCTCTTAAATGTGCTAAGAATACTAACTCTGAGAAAAATAACAATGAAAAACTTAGTAATTTGGTTATACTTAAGGGTATATTCAAACACTTCTATGAAAAGTGAAACAACCACCCTACATTATCCTGTGATTAGGAAAACAATTTTAAAAAATAACTACTCTTGTTTCTCATATTGTCACATTTAAGTATTAGACTATGTGTGCTATCATTTATCTTTTTCTGCCTATATAAAAGCATGCTTTAGCTGGCAATTAATTTCATTTTATTTGTTTTTTTACATCACATTAGTTGAATAGAATTAAAAAAATTGCATTAACTTACTAAAACATTCTCTACCACTGCTTGATAATCACAAGTATAAAGTTGGATTTTGTTTTTTTGATACTTCATTGTAGTTTTTGATGTTGTTTTTCCTTGATGTCTCCAGATATATTATCAAGAGAAAACTCATTATTATTGCACTTAGATAGTATTTCTGACGTATGATTTTTAAAAGCATCATTAAATTGTTGCAAAAAATTGATTATTAAGAGATGAAAATAAAAGAGAGCCACCAGTTTCCTAAACAAAATACAATTACTTAACTAAAGGTTTTTTGGTTTTTTTTTTTTGATGAGGCTATTCAATCTTTAACATCATGTTTTTGTATAAACTTCTCCATGAGCAGTTCATAACATAGATTTACTGTGTGTAATCAGCTGTCATTGTAGGCATCATGATTATTATATTTTTATTTTGGAGCATTTGTGAAGAAATGACTGATGAGATAACACTGATATAGTTTATATTTGCTTCCCAGGTGGTGCGAGTGGTAAAGAACCCGCCTGTCATTGCAGGGGACATAAGAGATGTAGATTCAATCCCTGGGTCAGGAAAATCCCCTAGAGGAGGGCACAGAAATCCGCGCCAGTATTCTTGCCCGGAGGATCCCATGGACAGAGGAGCCTGGTGGGCTATAGTCCATGGGTTCGCAAAGGGTCAGACACGGCTGAAGCCACTTAGCACACACACACACACACACAGTGTATATTGTAAATGCTGTTTTCTGTTCAGAAGCCAAAATTTTTACAGATAAAAGTGTAACTTTATTCTTTTTATTCTCCCCCATCAGATGTGGGTTCTGTTGAGGGCCTTGCCTATCACAGAGCCTGGGACACCCTGTACTGGACCAGCTCGACTGCCTCCTCCATCACCAGGCACAGCGTGGACCAGACTCGGCCAGGAGCCTTTGACAGGGAAGCGGTCATTGCTATGTCAGAAGATGACCATCCTCATGTGCTAGCCCTAGATGAATGCCAAAAGTAAGAGATTTCTATTTCTTCAGCCTTATGCTTAGCTTTAAAAATAAATGTTTCCTCTGAAGTTCTTTTTTCACAATTCACAAAATTTTTTTTGAGAGCATTGGAAATGTGAGTGATTGAAACCTGGACTCTTCAAATGCCAGGCGTCACTTCCATGAGAGGTTCAGTAAAAGCAAAATTAAAGGATGAAAGGGAAAATAGAGACAATACTGTGATGGAATAAGTGTATGAAAAAGACATTAATGCATCACTGATTGAAATAATAAATTTGAAAAAAAAAATCTATTAAAAAGCATTAAAACCTAAAAGGTATTTCTATAATTCAATTAAGTAATTTTAACAACTGGAGATCACTCCAATTGAAATCAGAGGAAATAAAAATAGACCTTTGTGTGCAGCTTTATTTTCAACATTAGATACCTGACAATAGTCAAGTGGTCCACATTGGTATGATACTTTGTGCAAGCATTTATAATACTTATGAAGAATTCATAGCAAGAAAAATTGCTCAGGCTATAATATAAAATGTATAAAAAATAAAAATGATTTGAAAAAAAAGTTATGTTTTAGATGATGATATTAAGAAAAAATTATATGAAAACTGAAGAACAGAGGTTAGGTTAAGCAGAAGGCAAATATGTTTATAGAGTTGCACTCTTTTACAATATGATAGGAATATTTGTAACTACTAGAAAATCTATTTATTCTTAAATGAAACAAGGGCACAGACATCAATCTGGTTTCACTGAGCAGAAGTAGAAAACTTGTTTCAGGTGTGTTGAATAAAAATGGAAGAATAAAAAACAATGACTAATAAACACTGGCCCTGATCACCTAAGAGCTGAAAAGACTATATGAATTACTATCTTATAGAACTAGAGATGAGAATTGACTTACTTAATTAAACATACTTAACTTGAAAATTAAAACTCTAAAGGTGAGAGATGCAGGTGAAGATGAGGTTGCCTGCTTACATAGGTTTGGTTACTTAGCTGAGATGGACACAGGCCTTCAGATGTGTAGGCAGAGCTGGTTCTGCTCATACCACTGTCATATCACTACACAGTTGGTTGTTGAGTCAGCTACATTGATCCTAAGAGTCCACCAGAAGAATCTTAGGGCAATAATAATTACCCTAAAGTTTATCAAGGAATCTATAAGACAATTTTCAAACAAACATGAGGGAGATCACTGATGATATTATATATGATTAACTTTAAGTGATAAGTGCTTTACCCTATAATTATTTCTTACATAGGCTAAAATTATACTTTCCTCTTACATTAAAGTGAAAATTATAATTAAACACAAAAATATATTTTAAATGGAAAATTAAATGTAATTAATGTTTAAAATATAAAAATATTTTATCATTAAGCATATTAATGGCATCTATGAATCACTTTTATATGTCTTTTGATTAACAGAAATCTTAAAATCAAATCAATTTCTAGATGAAGGACTCCTTGAGTTCAAAGCTTGTCTCAATAACTATAGTACTCAAGCTCTCTGGCCCCTTTTTTCTTATATTTGAAATGAAAGGTGAAATTAAAGGAGTAATAATTCCTTGGAAATTCTATAATTCTAAAGCTCACAATCTAGAAAATTATTGAAAGTGAATTGTTTGTGTGTTTAATATCTCATATTTGCATAACTTTTAAAATAATTTTTTTAATTTTAAAAGTCACAGGATACTGTTAAAACTATTCCATGTATAAGAAAGTGGAATGTCATTTTTTTTTACAAGTTTGCTGATTCATAGCACAAACTATTTTGACATTTAAGAGTCACACAGCTGAGCAAATGAACAGCAACAACAGCAACAATACTTAGAACACTTTAATGTTCCATAGAATCAATTAAAATGCTTTGAAGTATTTTAATAAAGAGCATAGATGACCCAGTTTTCCTTAATTTGTGGCAGTTATTTTTTAGGTTAGAAAGAAGAAGTTCAGTTCAGTTCAGTTGCTCAGTTGTGTCCAGCTATTTGTGACCCCATGGACTGCAGCACATTAGGCCTCTCTATCCATCACCAACTCCTGGAGGTTACTCAAACACATGCCCATTGAGTTGGTGATGGCATCCAACCATCTCATCCTCTGTTGTCCCTTCCTCCTCCTGCCTTCAATCTTTCCTAGCATCAGGGTCTTTTCCAATGAGTCAGTGCTTTGCATCAGATGACCAAAATATTGGAGTTTCAGCATCAGAACCAGTCCTTCCCGTGAATATTCAGGACTGGTTTCCTTTAGGATGGAATGGTTGGATCACCTTGCATTCCAAGGGACTCTCAAGAGTCTTCTCCAACAACACAGTTCAAAAGCATCAATTCTTAGGCACTCAGCTTTCTTTATAGTCTAACTCTCACATCCATACATGACTACTGGAAAAACCACAGCCTTGACTAGACAAGCTTTGCTGGCAAAGTAATG